TGGCCAATAATTCATATTTCCTGAGAACATGACCAGACCCGGCGCGACACCCTATCCGTGTTGCGAACTAGCCACCGACCTGATTGAGCTCATCGGGTGACTTCAACTGCCATCGAGCATAGAACACAGAAACACTCAAGGGATCCCTCCTGTTCTTGTTGTTCATATTACCCCGGGTTTTTGTTTGTGTGTTCGGGGAGGTATAGTAGATTGACGATGGGTAGCTTTAGTAATAAGGTCAAGGGTACTATCTATGGATGAGGTTATTAGAGGCTATGGATCTCCCTTGCATAGAGACTTGTCGCCTTGAACTCATCATTTCCAGCGCATTTGCAGTAAAAACCAAGGCAACTCCAGCTCAAAGGCATGCAACAAAGAGATAGTCCATGTCCTACACGTAGCTTTCCTATGCCCATCGAATACTCCAGGTCCTGGGCTTCCCAGTAGTGTTGCCGGGAACGACCACTCTATTTAACCCGTGGGTGGTGGGATTCATCGGTGATGGAGCTCCGCTTAAAGTCCGAACTGTTTCACTGCATCAAAGTTTGCCTTGCGACTTATATCGTTTGTTTCTCTGCATGTTGTTAGTGAATGTTTCCTCATGAATGCTTGGAGGGAACACGAGCTTGGTAGATGTTATGCGATTTATAACCTGTCTTATTTGATTGACGTCTCGGCTGAGCTTGTTGACCATCTCCCGTAACGTTGGGGGAATATAGTATAGAGTCTGAACGTTCTTGGTATCTCGTTGATGCTGCTCGCAGAATGTTTCGAGGACCTTTCGGAGAGTAGCGAACTCGAAGTTGGTGTTGGGTTTGTGTTGAGCCCAATAAAAGCTTCCAAAGGAGTCAGAGGGGCTTTGGGAAACGTTGAAATGATTTGAAAGCCGGAACGTGATGTAAATGACTAAAAAGTTGTTTGTGTGAAGATTTGCTTAGAAGAAGAAGAAGAAGAAGAAGAAGAAGAAGAAGAAGAAGAAGAAGAAGAAGAAGAAGAAGAAGAAGAAGAAGAAGAAGAAGAAGAAGAAAGCAAGACGTAAGTTATAAAGATTTCTCACCCCGATAGAGTGACCTCCTTACCTTGACGCGTCTTCTCTATCTTGAGAGAGTGACGACTTGACCTTTGCAGGCACCGAGGTGAGACGCGCTGTACCGAATTGCCAAGATTAGAGCAGGATACACCCAAGCAGCCCGCGACGTCGCTGCCGACGTTCCCAGCGTGTAACAACGAGCAGAACTGTTTGTGATCACGCCCAGAAAGCCTTCATCATGCATCCAAAGTTAAGTAGGAGTGTCTGGTTCTGTGGTTCTCTGCATGTTACCTCTCCCTCTCCCCGGCACAGCTGTCATGGTATCTCGCAATGAATTGAGCTAGATGGCCAGGAAATACATCGCGGAGACATCGCCTTATCTGACGGGTACATCACTCACTTGAACAGCCGGAGAGCACTGGAAGGCATCGTTGGGGAACATATGATGAGTTGGAAAAATTGGATTCAATGGACCTGACCCTTTACACATACACGGGTAGGTCGAGCCATGTAGCATGACAACCCCCACCACACTGCCAAGAAGAACAGTTCATACAAGTATACCGCCCGACTGAAGCCAATACTACCATGCGCAACCCCGGATAGGAAGTATGCTAGCAACAGAAATCTTTGGGCCGTGTCCATAAAGCCCGAGACGTCATCCCCAGCCTCCGGCGCCAGTTCCAGGTCCGCCTGCTCCTTACCGTATAATCAAAAAGACACAACCCCTTCGCCAATACCGAACGAGAAAAGAAACCCTTGCTTTTGTCCCCCGCCTTTTCGATGCTACATATGAAGAGAGAAAAAGAGAGAAAGAGAGTCCGCGCAAGTTGAAGATGCATCCCAGATCAGCCTGATATGCCCCCATCTGGGCAGAGAAAGCGGGTATCAATACGTCTACGATGCTTTGCGTTTTCCGATGAAATCACTGACCTCCAAGTCGCCGAGTTATGCATGAGTCTATGTGGGCCCCAGAACGTTTACAATATGTCAGGTATCCCTGGCCTTAAAGGCCAGGGTGCCCCCCTTGGGCCGGTTCGACGACATTGTCTGACAGGTTTATAAGGAGCTGGGCCAAACATCTCTTGGTCGCAGCGTCGTCTCGAAGGACTGAAGAAAAGGTCGCATCTCGGAGGGGTTCTGGGAGGCACTGGCGCAAAGCCTCACGCGCGCGCGCGTTGTCGCTCAACCTATGCGGCATTAGCGAGAGGCTAGCCCAATCGACTTGTATCGGAGAACTCACCGGAGAAAGCATCTGACAACGTGCTTGAGAAGCCGAGCTGTTTGCTGCTCGACGAGTTGAGCAACCATATTGCTGAGGACAGTGCCCACCGCGTAAAAGCGTTCGTAGGTAGCGCAAATGTAGTTGAGCCCATTGTCGTCCAATAGGATCTTTTGCACAATGAAAATCGCCACAGTTTTGCTCAGCTCCGAGCCTGTCTCCATAATACGTAGGCAAAGAGGAATAATCTCTGTGGTGAGCAAAAAGTTGATGACCTCGGAAGAGTCGTTCTTGACGAGGGCGCCAATGACGCCTAGCGACGTCAGACGTAGGTATTCGAAAGGTCTCGATTTCGAAGTCGTGTTGAGGAAGGGATACAGGAACAAAGGGATATGGGCTAGTGAATGTGAGCTCAGGGACGGGTAACATTTAAGGGGATCACCTGGACGGCGTACCATTCAGAAACAACGTGCGCGTATCATTGTGGGAGGCAACGCACTGAAGAAGTGCTAGCGCGTTGCATACCCTATTGGAAGCCGCAGCAGTGAGTTGTGAAGGGTTCAAGAGAGTGTAGACCGAGATGATCTCCTGTAGTAGCGATGTCATGACTCCTACGTGGGTTTAGTATGCGTCAATCACGCTGGTCTCATGCATGAAAGCTTACCAAAAGAATGCCACAATATGAGCGCAAGCTCGGGAACCTGTTCTCGCTTCTTGCTCAGCTCCAGAAGAGCCGCCTCACGGGTGCTCTCGCTCAGCAGATCAGCAATGTAAGCCATTGTTCTTCGATTGTCCTCGGATATGTTGTCGTGGCTGCCTTCCGGGGCATGCGCATTGCCAAGAGATGGAACCGCAGAATGCCCACTAGCAAGTCTATTGTAGTGCTGCTGCTGCTGCTGCTGCTGTTGCTGCTGTTGCTGCTGTTGCTGCTGTTGCTGCTGCTGCTGCTGCTGCTGCTGCTGCTGCTGTACGGCAGAGGCGGCGGCGGCAGCAGCTTGCTGGGCATGGTGATGTTGATTAGACTGCTGATGCATCCATGCCGAGTCAGTCTGCGGATTAAACTGATGGTGTCCGTAAACGTGCTGAGCGGGCATCATCTTCGAATCCCAGATCCGTGTGCTTCACAGAGTATGTTCTCGACGAATATGTGTGGTGTTGGAACGAGGGAAGCCACTGCACCGATCGTAGCCAAGTATTTTTTATCGCAGTTTCCCAATGAGAAATCTCTTTCGAATGGCACTGCAGCAACGGGAACGACGATGAGCTGCAGTACTTCGTCGGAGTGTTGATCTGTGGGCGGCGGGCGGCGGCGGATCGAGGATGTCAACTTCGCGGGGGCGATTTGGACTTTGGGCTCTTGCGCGCGAGGCCGTTGGAAGATTTAATCGCAGATTCGTAATGAGTTCAAAGGCCCGAAAATTGAGCCGTCGTTATTTCGTGGTGGCGCGAACTTCAAACCTTTGGCGGGTGCTTCGTAGTCAAGGGGACAAATGTGCGTACTCAGTCAGGGTGGAGGTTGTGAACACTAAACTGGGCAGGGAAGGTTGAGAGAGGATGAGGCACACACAGAGGAAGGCAAGGCCAGACAGGGTTAGGTAATTGGTTGGTAGTCAGGCTAAGGTTAGGTGTGCCTATGGAGAGCGTTGGAGGCAGGGAGCACAGGTGCCTCATGCACGGGCATGGATGAAATAGCGCGCAACTTACCTAGACCAGCACCAGTTCGGGTTAGTCAGCACCGCTGCTCTTGCTCTTGCTCTATTTCTCACCTTGAATCACCATAACCTCCCCCTCCCCCCTCCTGACTGGCGCGTACTTACCTAAGCTGCCCTTCGACTACCTAAGGTGCCTCTCGTACATCGCCTTAACTTAAGGCTGGGGCGCAAGGCAATCCTATAATGACAGGGCGCACATAGCACAGCAAATAGCAATGACAACGTGATTGCTTTACTCTCTTTCTCCAATGACCTTACCATGGCCAGCATGAAGTACCTACATTCCGCAACGTAGAAGACCTAGGTAGAGGAGAGGAGGAAGCGGCAGTCCAGTGTCACGCCTGGCCTCAATGTGACCGGCGTGCCTAGGAGACTTGTAGGACCGGACCAAAATTGCTGTCATAGCTTTCTGCGTTCAATCTTGGGGTTGCGCGTGCGGCTCAAGTCCTGAAATAGGCTCCCTGGTACAGAGGATTATGGATCCAACTAAGACAAAGGGAAGTAACTTTGGCTGGTCATTTCTTCAAGTTTCCGAGTCTGCCTAGCAACGTAGAGAGGGATGATCAATGCCCCTTGGTCATATTGGGCTTACGCGCCTGTCCGCGCCAACATCATAATCCTAAGCTACACTCAGCAGAATCCCAATGGCCCTCCTCGTGGAGCCTCCGGATGTATCATGCCTGCCGGCACCCAATGACTGAGTGATAGCTACTGACTTGGACCATCTCTGCCCTAACACCGATGTAGCGTAGACGGAGTAGCAAATCATACGGCCAGCTGCTTTCAGAAAGAACCAAGTGCACGCACGTACGTACACACAATTATCGTTTCTAAACTTCTCTATACACGTTCACCTAATTGAATGAGTTGACATTACCCAACCGCCGCTGAATGCATTGATGGGCACCTATTCAAGTAATGCCGTTCCTTCGCCGAGGCAGAAAGTTGCTTACTGATTGGCAGTTGGCTACTAAGACACCTCGATTAACGCCAAGGCGACCGAGAAAAGAAAACAAATAACTTAAAGGTCAAAAAGGTCGTACGATGAGATTGTTTGCCCTCGATACCCTCCACCCGCTCTAGTATCCCGGAGTCGGGCTCCCAGATCGGAGCTAATCCTTGACCACAGATGTTCTCCGCGCTTTTCATCTGAATGCTTCCGCCCCATCTAAAGACGAAGCTCCCTCAAAACCTGATCGGCCATATTCTTGTATTGCCACGTGTTTCCCACCAGTCGCTTGAATTGGATTCCGTGGAGAGACAACAACGGGACCTTGACAATGAATATCTCAAACTCAAGGACCATGCTTCCGCCCAGATCACTCTGAACGTGAGTGCTCGTCTCGCCAGGTACTCTTCTGGATGATGCTCCCGCTTCCCGCGAGACACTATCAACCGAGACGTCGGAGTTGGAGTAACTGTGATCTGCCTCAGTACGTCCGGAGCCACGCGGCGTACTCGGTCCTCGTTCAGTAGCTGGCAAGTCTTCTCGTTCCCGGTCGCCACCTCTGATTGCCCCAAAACTGAAGCGTCTCCTGTGACCTGGTGGCGCTTGTCCCGGGCTACCGGGAACCTCTGGTACTTTCTTGAGGTCAATGCTGGGTGTATGCTTGCACAGGAAGCCACCCTTGATCTCGGTGTAGTCGACTCCTAGGCCCTTGAGCACCCGCTTGATATCCGCCCGGATCTCTGTGACGTTCTTGGTAGAAGTTGTCGAAACGCTAAACAAGCCTTTGAGGAAAACGGGCTTAGCCAAGTCTGAGCTATCCAGCCTGTCGGTGGACACGCCACTCTGGTCGCCTTGCTCTTGATCCGTTTCCTCCGGCACGTTAGCCTCTCGAGCTTCCTCCCGGCGAAGCCTGCGCTGCTGAATACTCTCGCGCCTAGCATGACCGAGTGATTTCGCTCTCATGGATGCAGCCCGTGTTTGCTGGCTGTCTCTAGACGCAGGCGGTGGTCGATCAGTGGCCGTAGATTGGTCTGAGCCGCTCGTCGGGGGTGGCTCTTTCGGTGTTCGCGTCGACCCACGGCGACGCAAGTCTGCTGAATTTACGCTTGTAGATCGGCCCAAACCTTTGCGCCGCGACGATTGACCTCCGGCCGATAAAGGTGGGCTAAGAAGATCGCCGTGCTGTGGCTGACTGCTACCAGATCGGAGCGGGAGAGGGTCCGGTTCTTCTCGTTCCCGTCTGCCGCGACGTATGCTGAAGCTTTTCCGGGGCATCGGTGCAGGAGGGGCCTCGGAGGGTGAGTGAACCTGAACTACAGGCGGATGAGATCGGTCTCTATCCGACCTTTCCGGATCCCGCCGTCTTCGAGTACTGAAGCGACGGAGGATACCTGCAGCGGTACTCTCCTTCTTTGGGAGCGGCTCGGGCGGCACCTCTGGAGAAAGGGGCGTTGTTGGCGAAAGTTGAGAGCTCTTCACGGTGTCGGGGGCTTCATCTTCACCGTGAGTCCTTGCGCGAGGACGAGAACGGCCGCCCGTGACCCGTTCGCCGGGCATTTCGTAAGTAGACGAGTTGGTATGAGCCTCCTGCGGCGGTGTAATCTCAGGGATTGCAGGCTTCTCCTTCTCCTTATGAGCACTGGCAGCTCCGGGGTTCTTCTCAACACGATCGCGATCCTGTTTTTCTCGTACCAGGTAGTAGATCGAAACCAACGGACTGAAGGCGTTGAGAGGATCGTTGCCGAGCTGGAGAGCCTCAGAACTAGGAGCCGTCAACGTGTCGCGACTGGTGCCCGAGTTTCTCCTCTTGTAAAAGTCAAAGCCAAAGCCGCGCTTTTTCTCAACGTCTTTGGCAGGCTGAGGGAGCTCTTTCTCGCGCTGGTAGAGTTTGACTGCGCGTTGATAGTCCTCAGACTCGATTGTTCGTTCCAGCTGGGCCTTGATGGCGTCTGGTGAGCCAAAATTGAATCCAGTCATGGCGTTGACAACATCGGAGTCCAATGGGAGAGAGAGGGGTTCTCGTGGAGGTAATCCGTTGTCCAATGGGCTGTTGTAACCCTTCGTCATCCACGGATGAACCATGACTTCCTGCATGGTTGCACGTTGCTTGGGATCCGTTACAAGCATCCGAGATAGCAGGTGCTTGCATTCTGCATCATGTTAGATGGAGACCAGACGCAGTACGAGTCTGAGCAACTTACCACTTGAGAGCCAACTTGGGTAGTCCACCAACCCCTTTTTGATTTTGGCGTGTAGAGCAGGCATACTCTGGTCGTCGAAGGGCACCTTTCCACACACCAAAACGTAAAGAACGATGCCGAAACTCCATACGTCCACCTCGGGCCCGGTGTAGGCTCTCGCCTGAAGTAGCTCCGGGGCAGCGAAGTAGAGGCTGCCGCAAAAGGTTTTGAGATGACCGCGCGGAGCGAACAGGTTGCTGAGCCCGAAATCAATGATCTTGATGTCTCCATTTTTACTGATGAGAATATTTTCGATCTTGAGGTCTCGGTGGACAATGCTGTTCCGGTGACAGTAGTCAAGAGCGCTGGCGATTTGACGGCTGAACTTGCGGGCTTGCTTCTCCTTCAACTTTCCGTGCGAAATGATGTAGTCAAGCATCTGGCCGCCATTGACGTACTCGCAGAGCATGTACCAATGGTAGTTGGTGCGCACAACGTCTCGCATACCGCAGATGTTGGGATGGCTCAAGAGAGTGACGATGGCGGCCTCTCGGGCGGTCCTGATTTCCTTAGATTGGTCCGCTCTCTCCTTGTCCGCTCGAGTCTGATGCTGTGTATCTTCCGTTGAGCCACGGGGAATGATTTTGCAGGCGACCTGCGATTAGAGAGGAGCGTGGGTTAGCAAGCACGACACGTTTGGGCCGAGAAACACGGCAAGCCATAGGAGGGAGAAGAAACATACCTGCTCGCCTGTGTCCTCTTTACGGGCCAGCTTCACCTTTCCCATGCTACCAGCACCGATTGTCTTGCCCAAGATCCATTTTCCAGATGGGGTTGGTATCGTGGTGCGTGATCTACTCGTGTGCTTTGAGGTAGTGGGCGCGCCTGGGCTCCGGGGATCGGGCCCGCCATGGTTGCTGACAGGAGCAGGCCCGGCGTTGTTGGCAACTGCGGTGCTCGCGGGCATGTCGGCAGCGTGATTGTATCGATGATTTGATCTGGTACTGCTGTGACGCTGGGGACGCGAGGCGTCGGCGCGGGTCGATGAGGGCGGGTGTTGGCTTGGGGCGTTTCGCTTGGAGTGAAGGACTACTTCTGGTGTTTCATACTCATGTCGTTGGGGGATGTCTTGAGCGAAACGAGAAGCAGCTGAGCCAGTGGAAGCGACAGCAGCAGGAACGGTGGCAGAGGTGGAGGAAGGTTGTCGAGAGTGAGAGCGGTGTTGGAGTTGCTCGCTCCCGCTGTATTGGTGACGGCGCTGGTGACGGTTGTGTTGTTGATTGGAGGTGGAGGAGCCACGCTGTAAAGGAGGACCAGAGCCAGAGGCAGAGACAGGAGGCCGGGTTCGGGTGGAGAGGGAGCGGTGCGCAGTCGATGGTTGAGATTGGGATTGAGATTGAGAGCGAGACGGAGGAAGGGGAGCCTGGGGAGGAGGATGTGCTGGCAGATCAGTGGTGGCCGGGATTGCTGTTGTCATTGCAGGAGAGAGAAAACGGGGGTGTGACACTGCGAGGGTTCGCTGTGTGAACTGGCACTGGCACTGACACTGGCGCTGGCACGGTTTCCGGCTCCTCTGGCGACACGAGAGGGGGAGAGGCAGAACGTGGACCGAACAGTGAGGTCAGGTACGGTAGGACACTTTCAGGATGGGATGGGATGGGATGGGAGGGTAAGTACGGAGTACCTAAGGAAGGTATGGGGGGGCTGGGGAACCACCGGCTCCACTGCGTACTTCAACCAAGTCTTCCACACAAGAATAAGGTATCCGTATGGTTGAAGGGGAGAGTGGAGGAGAGTGAGGGAGGGGGGGCCAGGAGTCGAGGTACTGAGGAGGGCAAGCGCTGCACTGTCTGAAGCGAAAGTGGAAATTTGTCGGGGATGAGGCACCGAAGCAGACGAGCGGTCAGACGCACAGAGAGAATGAGAGAGAGAGAGAGAGAGAGAGAGAGAGAGAGAGAGAGAGAGAGAGAGAAAACAGCGACAAATAGTTGATGAGTGTCCGTAGTAGCAGGCAGGGGAGAGAGAAGGTGTGCGCAACAAGACTCATGGAAACTCAAGAGTGAGCGGCAGTGAACAACCCCTGCAAGGATGATTTGAGAGCTGAGGTATCCACACCAGGCAAAGCAAGGAAGGCAGACGTTCAGTCTCGTCTGATGCGGGTGTGCGGGCGTGAGTGCTGTCTGTGTGTGTTTGCACGCAAAAGAAGCATGGGAGTGAGGATGATTTTGAAAGGGCGGGGAAAGCAACACCTTATCCGTAGAAGGAGAGAAGAATTGGGAAAACTTGAGTAAGGTACCTTAGGTAGAAAGTCGGATTACAACTTCTAGTACCTTGCCTTAAGTTGTTCAAGACTTCAAGTTGTGTTTGCCCGGCGCTTATCGGTTGCCTGCCTTGCCTAACCTGACCTTCCTAGGTACCTTACCTTCAGGTTCCAGGTTGGATAAGGTATCCGTACCTGCCTTAGGTACTTGCGAATGCCTCTCACTTTCAATTGGCAAACCCCCCAGCGACACCCAGCCAAGCTCCCAATAGGTACTCTATGATAGGTACCTTATATAGGTAGGAATAGACATGGCCATTTCGTTACTCATGGCACGCGCATTGGGTTGAATTGGATTTTCCATGTCGCCAAGGTATAGTATGTGCGAACAAGGTCGACATGAAATCTCCTTCTCCAGCGTCTTTGTTTGACGGGGCAAGCCACCTCATTGTTGGCGTGGTGCCATGTCGACCTACCTAACATTACCTTGCCTCGGACACCAGGGGGCACACATCTTGCTGCACCTTGGGAAATTCGTGTCGGGTGGCAGGCGCTCTAAATTCGAATAGTGAGGTACATTGTATCCGTAGAATGCCTGTGTCTGGCTATCTGCATCTACGGATATGGATACCTAACACCTCACATCCCATCCTCTGGTAAATTGGGCCGAGGATGGCGGAAACAAGTAAGACAAAATCAAGTCCATCAGAGATGACGACAGATGCCGTGGATAGGAATGCAGACCCCGCGCTGGAGAACCTTGGATTCATTTGGTCGCAAAGTCTTCTTCGCTAGGTAGGGCCCAAGGTTCCCAATGTCCCCTGCGCTGCCTTCGGCGTGGAACGTAGGTACCTCGGACAGAACATTCAGTCCTCACCAGACGGTACTTACCTACCTTACCTAGGCACACTGCCTAGATAATCCGTACCTCGAGGTATCTCAAGCGAGACAAGCCAAGGCAGGAAAGGAACATTGAGCAACCATGCGACAACTTATTCTTTAACTCGGATATTCGGACAACGTCAGGGGGAAACTCCATGATACGCCGTAGATTTAAAATCTCTGGATCTTTGAAGGAGACATGCAGGGGGCTACGTACCGGCTCAACGTTTGAGTCTCGCACACAATACTAGGGCCCTGGAGTCCTGGACATCAAGCCGCGCTGATCAGCATCTGGACATGATCAAATCGGGTATCCGCGTTAAATTTGGAGCAGTGGCCCAATGCCAGTCCCGACTCCCAGAGTGTGATATGATTGGGCCTACCTTAGTTGATTTACAGAGCAAGGTTAGGTACGAAGTAACACGGTAGCATGGTTGGTCTTCGTAAATACACCGACAATTAAGTACATACTGACTGGAGGAATCACGGACGGCCTGGGTCTAGGCAAGGCCGAGCAACAACTGCACGGACTTCCCTACATAGTAGTCAGGTACCCGAGAGCAAGCATGAGGAACCAGATGAGGTCTATTTCCATGACAAGAATACCGATATCCGTACGGGTGCAGCCAAGAGTTTTTGGACCAAGACTGATGCAGAGCCAAGTCCAAATACCCTTTGATTCCTATCCCAGCTCGCCCTAGCCTCGAGGCAAGCACGGCAAGGTACGTGACAACACGCGTGCGTGGGAAATTGAAAATGCAGCTACGCTCAATGGTAGATCGCTGTACTCTATACTGGGCAACGGCTGTGAGGAAGATTGACAAACTGCGAAACAAGCATCGTGAGATCCATCTTGCTGTTTCCCGCATTTCAATTGTAGACCTGAGCAATGTCGATTCTTAAGACTATTCGCTACACTGCAGGAACCTTCCTAGAGGTGATAGACAAGCTCAACCGCACTCTTCTCCATTACACCATCCGCGACTACTAAGCTCAAGGTATTGCGCTACATTCAGGTACCCATGCAATAGCAATAAAAAGCCGCCGAGCGCTGTCCGTGACTGAGGTAGTAGCGAATCGAGCTCTTATCTTATCATGAGTTATCGATAGCAAATTTACCTAAGGGAGGTAGGTACCTACCTTACCTAGGTAGGTATTCCACCTCACCTCTGGGGAAATCCCTAAGCTCGCGACATTGCCGATGTTAAGGTCCTTCACCCCGATTGCCTTATTTCCTGCCGCAAACCTGACACATCTTACGCAGGCGCCCGCTCGATTCGCCTAAGCGAATGTAGGCAGCGACATATTAACTAGCTACGAAAGCCTGCACAATCGTTCACCGTCGTTATTATATGTCGCGTAGCAAGAGGTCGCATGCTACTTACGAGGCTGACTTGCACGATGAAGCCGCCGTACACGTCGCCTTTGGCACCCCTCTCCCGCCACTTGGTCCGGAAGTCCGCGATGATGGCGCCTACATCCCAGTACATAAGCAAGAAGTAAGGGATGAACACGGAAGGCGACGTCTTCATGGCGCTTTCACAGGTGGATGGAGCGCAGGGTTTGTCTCCCACAGAACCCCCAGCACTGAATCAAACTCAGCCATCACTTAACTGACAGAGGAAACCCAGATACTTCAACACCGTTGGCTCCAAAGAAGGATGGACGCCATCTACGTTCGTCTCAAGTCGCACGAACCGTCAAAAAAACGAGCCACGTACGAGCCGACAACGACCGGAGGATTACATGGACGAAGAGGATCTCGCAGATACTGCTGCCACCCAGAACATCCAGACAACTGATCCGTTTTCCTCCCTCGGAGCTTCTAGCCATAATAGACGTCACGCCAGCGATTTCACTGGTTTAGCGAGAGTTTCTGGTGATACCATGGGCCTCAAGCTTTTAAGGAAGATGGGCTGGAAGGACGGGCAGGGCATTGGCCCCAAAGTACGGCGGACCGCTCGCCTGGGTGTCATGACCAGCACTCAAGATGTAGCCAGTGGCAACACTCACTTGTTCGCTCCAGATGATGTCAACATGATAGAGTTCGATCGCAAGCGAAACCGCCAAGGCTTGGGTTTCATAGGAGAGCAAAAACTCTCACAGCTATCCGGTCCAGGCATCATACGGGCGAGTCGAGATCAAATTGGCATGGACGAGGAGGCGAGCAGCGGCAATGAACTCCCGGATGGCCTCCAACCGGCACTCGGCATCTCACGCACGACAGGAAAGCCAATCCCGGCAGCGCCACGCGGGGGCTTGGGTGTGGGCATACTGAATGATACCGGCTCAGATGACGAAGATCCGTACGATATTGGGCCACGAATATCATACAATCGAGTTCTAGGTGGAGACAAAAGTAGGAAGAAGAAGAAGCAACCAGCCAGTCTGTCTGCGAACCCCACCGTGAGGTCGAAGCCAGTCTTCATCGCCAAATCCTCGTCGACAAATGCCTATGGCCAGACACGATGTCTTGACGGGAAGCTGTCGCTTAAGGGATTTGCCCTTGGCCGTAGTGCAGAATCTCGGCTGACTGGAGAACCCGCGGTGTCATATCGTCCCCCAACCGTACCCGATCACTGGAAGTCAACAAAGCGCCCTGTCGGTGGGAATACAATAGCAGCGTATATTTCTGCAGCAGACGCTGCCAAGACGGCTCAACATGATCCCAGATCTCGCGCGCTGCTCCTGGGCGAGTCGACGTTGCCTGGCAAATCGATCTTTGACTACATGTCATCCGCTGCTCGCGAGCGACTGGCCGCGGCCACTGGGAGAACGAATCTTCCCCCTGCCAAAGGCGAGATTCCCGCAGGGCATGCGCGCACAGCAGAGCAAAAGTTACAAGATAGGCTAGGGAACATACCTGTCTTGGCCAAAGAGACGGCCATTGCCGCAATGAGTCGAGGATCAGGCACAGGAGGGCCTTATGCAAATAACGAGGCCAAGCAGGCAAGATATCGACTCTATCTACAGGATGCCGCGGGATTCGGGGGTTCAGCTCCTCTCAAGCCTTCAGGCATGACGGAAGATGACTATGTCAAAGAGATCGAAGAGTTTTACGGGTGTGCTCGGCTATTCAAACCAATGACGGGCTTTATGGCAACACGGTTCACGACAGCTTCGACTGGGTCTAGGGAGGGCGCAGACGCAGGCTCTCCTCACAATGCGCAGCAGGTCCCGGGGCCAATTGGGCAGGCAGATCCTATTGAAACGGCGGCCAAGATGGGGATGTATGGGCGCATGACGAGGCTGACTGCAGACTTCTTTCCAACTAGATTACTGTGCAAGCGCTTCAATGTCCGACCCCCGGCTCATTCGCGACCAGATTCGGATGCGGCAACTCCATTAGAGCATCATAAGACTTCCTGCGGAGTACCTGCGAGTGAGGTCACACCTCACGAATCACTCAGTCGTGAAACGAACTCAGATGTGGATTACATGCTGGGTTTCGATATGGCGAAGCAGTTGTCGCCGCAGACGGCCGACATCTCAAAGCTCGGAAGCGAGGCCGGCGAGGTCTCGCGACCAAGCAATGACATCTTCAAATCGATCTTCGGTGACAGCAGCGATGAGGCTGAATAAGTAAGTGACAACTGTCTTCGCGAGACTGACGCCATGACGAGACGATGAAGCCACATGGATAGCTCAGGTAACCTTACACTTACCGAACTACAGCTCGATGGTGAAAGTTCAGCGAGGCCCCTCTGCGGAGTATGGCTCTGGGCTTTCTGGTATACAAAACCCATCACCTTCGACCTAGACTCTCCAAGGAATATAGCAAGGTGTTTTCAGCACGGGACCGGAAGGGCTGGTGCTCCACATACCGGCTTTGGATGCATTCGCGGAAGCCGAGATACGGGGCAGGGGATGTCTCCGTAAGAAGAATCGCGCTTTGAAAGTTCATAATCGTCTATACCCCAGGGCCAACAATAGAAGCCGATAGAGCTGAGAAACCGGGGATATTCCAAGAAAGCGCTGCCATGCTCGGAATGATAATATATGCTTAGCCATTGGGATGCTACCGCGGGGCTTTCATGCATCGAAATAACATGTGATGACCTCACGTGCTATGCCGACAGACTGGTCTAATGCCCCGAACACCTGCAGTGTTGACTCCCCTTACCGTTAAGGTAGCTATGGCACAAATATAGGCATAGGTATAAAGCTGTGATGGGATGAACAAACTAGCAGTAGGAAGGTCTAAATTGCCCACGGTGCCCGATTCCAAGATAGTGTCGTTTCCCCATCTTATCTAGCAAGCGTCTAATGAAATAGTGACTTGCCTTAACTTTTGATAGCCGTCACCTAGAAAGAAAACGGTTGTGAAGAAGGTAAGCAATACCTCGTCGCGATACCTGGGCTACTTCCATTTTTACGGGCCTACGGTGCCATGAACCCAGGCTGGGCCTCTGAGGTGCGTTCGTTGGCTGCACCAACCATCTCCCTGCGTTAGTCTTCAGGTACCTAGTCTGGGTACAAAAGTAAGTAGTTCCCCGCCCTTAAAGGGGTGCTTGGGCAACCTTATAGTCGCATAAAGATAACCCATAAACTGTTCTCGGTCATCTCGGTGCGTCTTCATTTACACGACAGTTCACTCTGTTCGGCCGTTTCCCTTTGAAATGTATGACTTCTATTTGAAGTAAGACATGAGTGTTGCTAAAACTATGTAGTATAGACTTATACATAAAAAAGCTATATAAATATTTAAGTAGTTATTATAATAATCATATTTAATATTATGTGATTTAGCTTTTAACTACTGAATACTAGTTTTTGTTAAATAAGATAATTTGTAAAAGACTTTACATAAATTAAACTTATAGAAAATGTAAACGGTCTAGTCTAGCTTATATCATTAGCATCAATTTATTTATTTTTTCAAAAACAATAATAAACAAAGCAAGCTACGATTTGCCATAGCTTAAAGCGGAGATCCGTTAAAGGGTGACCACTCACTTCTGGGGTCCTTTAGCAGACTGCTGCAGGCGCGTAGACGTAATACTGGGACTGACTGGGCATAAGTGCTGTAGACTTGGGCTTGCCTTTTTGGTCACTAATACCTAAGGTAAGGAAATAGCCGCCATCCTCCCCTGCTTTCCCTACCTCATCAAACTGCCCCCCAACGACCAATTTCCCATCCACCATTTGCTCGGACACTCGCAATCAACCATTGATTTCTCAGGCCTAGCATACGCCTGCCACCCCTGCGCTTGCAAGGCGACCTTTGTTGCCCCGTTTCGCGCTCTACTAAACGAACTACCTACCTTTTGGCGAGCATCCCGTCGCTCTTCCTCTCTCCCTCTCTCTACACGTCTGTCCTTCGCAAACCACTTTGGTCACTGAGCTCATCATCGCCATCCGAGCTAAGAACGTTACAAGTAGAACATTCGTTTGGCTTTCGCATTGGCGCCTGATTACAAACGCTGTTAATGAATGCCATCAATTGGAACTAGCTAAGAGGTCGAGTGGTGCACCCTACTTGTTTGTATCTAACTACGATCCGATCCTCGATACCTTGTCGAAACCGCCAACACGTTGCCAGGCTCGCAACACGTCAGGAACGGGCAGCCCGTGTCCGCCCGGCGTACAGTCATCGCCTCTGAAGAAGAAGATCCTCCTCAGCTACCAGCAAAGACCGAGCAAGAAAGCGCAGGAGAGTCCAGTCTCAGCGCCCCGTCACCTCTTCCTCCTCCTCAGTATCCCTCCTCCGAAGCATCAACCTCCCGACCGCCACCCTTCTCTTCAGTGTGCGATTCACTCGAGAACCCCTCCGAACCGGCTCACGACCCCCGCTCTGCGATCACAGTCGCAGTCGCTGGAATATCTCCTGCTGCACCGTCATATGCATCTCTAGCTTCAGGCTTCTCTGCAGAACAATCGGTTCCGACTTCCTTTGATCAACCTTTTTCAGAAACAAAGCGTGCGCTTCCTCGAGACACCAAAGGGGGCTCATCCGGAAAGGAAGACAACGCCGAACCACCCCCCGCATACTCGGAGGGACCCAGTCCACTCCAATCGTTTGCCTTTCTGATGGCTACCGCCGGAGGCGCGTCGAGTATCATTACTCAGGTGCAACAAGGAGGGCCGCCTATCAATGCGATTGGAGGTGAGTTTCTACTCGATCAGGACGAATCGGTTCATACTAACGTAATGGCAGATGTTGGTGCCGACGAGACGATCGCGATGGACCTTCGGTAGGGTTTGCTCCTACTCGACGTCCTATCCTGAACGCTAACCGTTGTTATCTGCAGGGGCACCCGATTTGTTCTGTCGAGAGACGAACTCTTGACGCTGCCCGAATTTGTCCTTTTATCGTTGTTCCCTAACGGCCTTTTCCCCGAGGGGCACATGGGGGGATTTACTGAGGGCGATGCAGTGCAAGTGGACGTGAGTACAAATTCTTACAGTAACCTACATAGTGCACTATGATTATTGACAACTTCCCGGCAGTACGACCCGGCATCCCTGCAGTATATGCTGGACTTCTTCCGCACCGTTGCGCAGTCGATACCTGTCGACTCATCTCCGAGTGTTTCTCAGGAGGAGGATCCTGCGACGGGAGACCCAATGGGCTCACGAGACGACTCATCCAAGAGAGCTGGCATCATCGTTCTGAGAGAGGATCTTGACTTCTACGTCATACCCCCACGGGCCGATATCACGCAGCCTGAAATGATGGAAGTCAAGAGAGCTGCGGGGAGAGCCCTTCTTCAACAGACGGGCATTTTCTCAGGTCTGAAGCGCAGTGATGAGCCGGGTACTACGGAAGCTCACCTCATCGAAATGCTCACAGCAGGGTAAGTCTCCCCGGCATGTCAATGGCCGGCCCTTGACAAGAGCTAATCATTCACCAGCGGTTTCAATCATGACGACAACTGGGGTCACAGAGCAGGAGAACCCAACAAGGCGGTCGTTTGCAGCCTAGCTTTGGCACGCCTACGAAGCGATATCAGAGGTAACGATATGGGCAGTAATGCCGTTGGCATGGCGCAGAAGCTGCTCCTCTTTTGGAGGAAGCCTGCGAGACGCTGCTGGTGGGAAGGCGTGGAGCTTGACAATGTTGAGGGCATCGAGGGGAAGCTAAAGGTCTGGATCAGGCGCGTTTGGACCCTGGAAATGAGCGTCATCGGCCTCCGATGAGGCCGACAAGCTTGGCTACAATCTTGTGCGGCGAGAGGTCGGGAATGGGCGTAATGGTGTAGCGCAGCCTGGCTTTGTGGGTTGAAATATGGGTTTCCTTCCGTCTACTTCTGTGAACACATGCGCGAAATGGTTAGTGGGCTTCGTCGGCCATACATAGGTAACGTTCGTTTTCAATGGCGAGACCGCTATTTACGGCTGATATTGAGCGTGTTCATAGGCGCGTCAGACCAAGGCAAACATGAGCCATAGGTCATTTCTTATATAATCAAACGAGAGCGTTTTCTTAGTCATGGATGTCTGTCACTTAAATACGTGGGCTCATGATTGATACTTGTGAGGAACCCAGTAGTGACGTTCTCGTCATCGTCTAAACGGAACGGAACATTGACTAATTTTAGGTGCAGTGACTTCAAGTCCATGCTGTCTTGGCTCGGGTCGTTGCCAGCTGTGTTCCCGATCTGTCAGCATAGATGGGTAGGCGGTCTTCGTCCAACTCCTGCTCATACTGTCGCGTCCTTCACCCCAATGGGCTCCTGGACAACAAGCAGAAAACGCCTTGCTCATCAATGCTAGCTATGTAATATTTGGTGACAGAAGCAGCCCTCGTGCGAAAAGAGACATCGCACCTTCTTCCCCATAACCATTCACTTGGGGAGAATCAGCGTCAGGCACACTAATGCAGCCCCAAATCCTAGCCAAGCTCCCCCGGCACAAACAAGTGTAGCATCATATCTTGGCTGGCCCGTCGGTTTAGGCTAAGTTTCAGTGCAACACAGGGTGATCTTCCGTCACAGAATAGCGACACCTGCCTCTCCGCGCTATAACAACGGCTTCAGGTCCGATCCGGTTATTCGCTCACGACCCTCTCTACATTCGCCGTGCTTCTCCGTTCCAGTATGTACGTAACTGCTACCAACAGCATGAATCTCTTACTTTCTTTACATTTTCTTGCCGCCACTCAACCTTCTGTGGCCTTGGCCCAGGAGTGCCGAAATACGTTGAAAGCAACGTACACCTCGCCCATTGCTGCCGGTGGCTGGACATATCGCCTGATCGCGAACGGACTCACTCGACCCAGAAGCATACTTTTCGACAACCAGGGAGCTCTCCTGGTTGTCGATGCTAACTCTGGGATAAAACATCTGAAGCTGACTGACGATGGCGGCACTTGCTTATCTGTGGCCGAGAAACGGACGATCATTGATTCTCCAGAGGTATGACAATTCAGAGACCGAGTATGTGTTGCGAGCTTACTTATTGTAATATGTCCGGCGACCCAAAGTTGAACCACGGAATAGCCCTCTCCCCGGATGGGAAGACTCTGTATGCCTCGACCGCCGACAAGGTATATTCCTGGGCATATAATGGCAGTGCTGCCATCGTTGGTGATAGGAATAGGACACTCATATCAAATATGAGCAATACCGACCATACCACCCGGACGTTACTTCTATCCAGCAAAAGTCCGGGCATACTCTTGGTGTCGAGAGGTAGCGCGTCCAACATCGACGAGGCTGCGACCCGCCAGTCGACTGGACATTCTCAGCTTCGCGCCTTTGATATCGGGAGCCTCGGTGAGAATTCTGGGCCGCTCAACTTCCCGACTGAGGGAAGGATGCTAGGCTGGGGATTGCGGAACTCAGTCGGCGTGGCAGAAGAGCCCGTCACAGGCGGTGTATGGACAGTGGAGAACTCAGCGGACCAGTTGAGGAGGAACAACGTTGATATTCACACTGACAATCCTGCCGAAGAACTCAACTTCCACGGACACCTCAGTGATTCTAACAAGGATCAGGGCGGTAATTATGGATATCCAGGTTGCTTTGCTGTCTGGTCGACCGAGGGATTTCCCGATAAAGGCAACATGACGACGGGAGATCAGTTCAGCCTCAACCCATCACGCACCCTGAACGATACGACTTGCAATTCCGCTTATGTGCCTCCGAGATTATCTTTCCAGGCGCACACTGCTCCATTGGATATAAAATTCACGCCCGATGGCTCAGAAGCCTTTGTAACATTCCATGGCAGTTGTGAGTGGTGCCAGAGCTCTATTGTCCACATTTAGTCCCATGACTTACGGCGGCCTAGGGAATCGAGACGAGGCTGTCGGTTACAAGCTATCTAGCATACGTTTCTCGAATGGAGAGCCTGCAGAGTCAGCTGATAGCCGGACACCAATTACTGATGTTTTGAGTAACGCAGATACCAGTAGCTGCCCTGACAACTGTTTTCGCCCGGTAGGACTTGCTTGGGACAGCCAGCAGAGACTTTTCATGACATCAGATTCGACGGGCGAAATTTATGTCCTTCAGAGAACCGATGTCTCAGTCTCGACCAGTTCTCCGGCTATCCCTGTTCCGACATCATCACCCGACGCTGCAGCAACCTTAGTCCCCTCCCGGCTCACCTCTTTTGGCAGCCTTGCAATCTCAGTACTTGTTTTCATGGGAGGTGCGGGCGTGGTCAGGCTGATCGTTGTCTAAAAATCAGCTTTGTATACTCTCAGTCTGGGAATGGCCGGGTTCAAATAGTAAAAGAATATTCAGTTGATACCGAGAGTATTCTGCTTCATGTGAGTAATAATGTACGGTGTGCAAGCGACAGTGGCTTGCTAGCCTGAGTTCGTTTCATCCGTAACGGTTGATCTAACTACAAAACGACATGAAATTCACGAGTGCAAATACGTAACGACCCATCTATGCCCTATTTTGCCGCGAACGCCTCGCCTATGACGTTACATGGATGTCTGTATTATTCCTCGATGCTCTTGACGCACTCCCACTCGCCTCTGAGGTTCTCCTTCCACAACGAGACCTTGTTGTCACCTCCGCTGACCGCGAGTACATTGCCGCTCAGAGACCAGCTGACTCTCCACACAGCTGCATCGAAGTTGAGAACCTTGCAGTTCCATTGTCCACGGCTCGACGAGTCCGACGTCCAAATGCGAACCGTCTTGTCTTGGGAGGCCGACGCAATGTATGACTTCTGCAAGACCGTCGGCGACCATGCTACATCACGAACCCAGTCTGTATGACCGGCAAGAGGCTCCTGCTCCTGCTTGTACGACTGCGATGCTGAGTCGAAAACCCAAACTTTGAGTAGGTTATCACAGCCGCCCGTGACAAATCGCCTCACACCAGCCGAACCAGGACCAGGGGAACTGCTGACGATGCTTCCAGGTGCCGTGGCTGGGGCCCATGAGACGGAGTTGACGCCCAACCCGTGGGCTGGGAATGTCACATGGTCGAAGCTGTTGTCGCGGAACTCGAGTATGCTCACGTTGCCGTCCGAAGAAGCGCACGCCAGGAGGCACCCAGACTCGTGTGGTGACCAAGAGACGATATTGACGGAAGCTTTGTGCAGAGCGAAATCGAAAATCTTCTGCCACTGATTGTTCTGTTCCCTCCAGATGAAGACCTTGCCGTCGTAACCTGCGGAGGCCAGAATGTTTCCATACTTGGGGTGCGCCCATGAAACGCACCAAACTGCGCCATCATGTCTGCAACAAAGTCAGCAGGAGTAGTAGGCTCGTGTTTCTGAAGGTCTCGAATGTGCGATGCTTACCCCTTCAGGGTCTCGACAAGTCGTTGGGAGTCCCCGTCGATTTCGAATATTTTGATGGTGCGGTCGCTTGAGCATGTCGCAAGGCGACGTCCGTAGTAATCGAGGACAGCATCGTGCTGGTAAGGGGGGCGAAATATTAGCCTGACCGAACATGTAGGACAAGGAGGCGGCCGCCAATCGCACATCATGGCATAGGCGTCGATGGTATATATTTCCCCGTCTCGAAAAACATTGGGCGATCGGGAACGTGTGGCAAGAATCGAAGAGACACTTACAATCATATCATCGTGGCCAGAATTCGATATGACCTGGGCAGACGCCTGCGTGAAGAGCCATGTTAGAGAAGCGGATTGCCAAGTGTATGTTGGGATGCCATACCATTGCGTGAAGTAGAAGCTGGTGTTGTTAATTGAGAATTGCGCTCATTCAAAACGTCAAATATGGGCTGATGCGGGGGGTCAAGAGCTGGGTAAGACTTGGGTATATGGTGAATGGCAGACTGGACGGCGTCACTGTAAGTGCCACCTAAGGGAATCGAAGCTCCCAGCTGGCCTTAGCCCAAGCTTGAGATCCAATTTGGCCAACGGGATGGGGCCGTGTTGCAAGGCCACCAGTAGGGTGTTCCGTACGAGGAAGGCGGTGAAACCATGATCCCGTGACCTGAGTCCCGTGACTTCCTTTAGATTGACGGCTAGGAGCTCCCAGTTTCTTACACGTGAGACCTCTCCCCTCCCCCTCCCCTAGCTCCGGTCCCGTTAACAGGGTGGTGCCGCGCTAACGCAGAGGTACGTACAAGCCGATGCCGAGGTAAACCGAAGTGGGAGTCGATGAAAGCCTCATTACCGCCTGCCTACCAACCTATGTATGCCAGAAAACGTTGGGATACTCTTTCTCTACATTGCTACCCCATGAATCCGGCTACCGTGGCGCTTGACGGAATAATCTACCTTTTTAATCAAAACCTTTTCTCGACACGCCATAAGCTTCTGCCCAGGACTGTGATCAGCCTCAAACATCAAAGGCCATACTCTTCAGACACTACATGCAATTTGAGAGCGCACTCGAATACCGTACACCCTAAGTGCTGGAATCATTGATCATTTCCCGCACAAAGCCATTGCAGGCGCCCTCATAATGGCTGACAGTTCCTGTAGCGGCTCTACGCCGTTCAAAGGCCTCGTTGACCATGGCGCCCAAGATCGAAGCCTGCACCGAGATCGGTTTTCCAGTACTCCTAGTCTTCAGCAAGTAAGGCCTATAGTACCGCCCCCGTGCTCTCACGCAGTTCTCCTAACAATGACAGGGCTTTCGATCTACAACCCAAACCGTCTCGACGCCGGCTCAAGCAGGCTTTGGCGAATTCCTCGATTCCAACCGGACTGGGCAAGTCAGCCTAGACACTCCCCAAACTCTCAACTCGCCCGCATCAGACTTCTCTCGAGGGTTGCAATCATTCCACTCATCAGCGCCTCCTGCTGGCCGAATTCTCCCAGCCAATCTCTACCAATCTACGTCACAAATCCCGACAGTTTCTCGGCAAAATGTGTCCATGGCGTCGCCACCGAGGACATCGAGTTGGGCGCAAGATTTCGCATCATTCTCTAGGGCACCGCCAGGTGCTGGAAGCTACACAACAGGGGTTTCTTCTTCGAATTATCCAGCGCCTGTAACCGGATTTACGCATAGTGTGATGGGATCGCAATTTAGACCTTGGTTGTTCGGGCCTCAAGGCGGCTCTGTAACCGCCACAAGTCACGGAGTTACAAACACCGAAGCCGACTTTGATGTTGAGATGAATCGGTGGATGGCAGCCAATGGAGATGGACAGATGGAGGACCTCGACACTGTCATGGAACAACTCGCGCGAGAACTGGAACAAGAGCACCAGCCAGATGCCGCTATACAAGCATCCAGAGATACCATCGGCAGCTCTGTGGATACTTTCACGACCTCTCTAGATGTTTCTGTCCAAGATGAAGCACAAGGAATACAAACACTCAATGCTACGGCTTCAACAAACCAACAGATATCCGGCGCATCCTCGGTCCTTGGGACTGGTGCCATCGAAGTATCAACGAGAGCAAGTTTTCCGGACCACATGCCTGACTTGGAACGTCTAGGCCTCGACGAAGCGGATCAGGCATCTGCAGAACATGCCCAGTCAACATCTGACATTTCGGAGGCAGCGAGACAGATACTTGACTCGGTTCAACATGAACAAGGAGACAAATGGAAGAATTCTCGGTTCTTGTCACTGATGAAAGACTTTCGGGATGGAAATAAAGACATCGTCAACAACGAAATCCTCGAAACCAAAGTTGGCGGCGAGAGAATCGGTCGGAATTGACCTTGAGGTCTACAATGCTCCTAAGCACCACCCAATCACATTGATAGCATGGCTAATGTCAACGGCCGATACAAGAGCCGTTATATAAGGGGCTCATCGCGCAAAGACGGTATTTGGCGTTTTTGTATGTAACATAAGTATTACCGAATGCTTTAGCAAACATCGTTGACACAGCTACGGACCAATTGATGCTTTAGCGATGCGTTACTGTTACATATGATACGACAAATTGTCTTCGAGAGACTTCCAATAACAGGCAGGGGTTATGAGTACTGGCTTAAAGAGGACGTTGGGGACCGCAATGAGACGATAACAAAATCGATGCTGCCCTTGCGGCGACGTGAGGGACAGACGTATTTAGCATGAGGAATTTGGCAACGTGTGATTCTGCCGATCTACGATAACGGGGTTGGGATGACAGCAGGAATAGGCAGGGATTGATATGCAGCCGCCTTCGAGCCCGAAAATAGCTTACCGTACCTTGGACTTAACGTTCTCGGCGTACGAGGGAAACTAAATATCTTGTTTAATGACTTGATAGTCCAGATCTTCGGGTTTTAATGTATGAATTGAATAAACTACAGCCGAGGATGACAAGCGGCACAAACAAAAACAATACATGAGGAAATGGATTTGCTGAAGGAAATGCACGAAGTGTACCCTAATCCCTCCAATTCATCCAGATGTGCCTTAGTGATTTGTGAGGAAACAGTTCAGGATCGACCAAGCGCGATGCTCTTCCAGTGGTCACGCTCCTCTTCAAGCTTACGGATCTTCTCTTCCAAATCTTCAAACCGTTGGGCCTTGCGCTCACGAGACTTGCGTGCAGCCAATGTGTTGCGGGCACGTTTCATAGCGGTGGTATCACTAGGATCCTCGACAATGATAGGAGGCAGCGGTTTGTCTCGTCGACGAGAGCTCACACCCGACACTGAAGAGTGACGGGCGGAACTAGTTGGGGAAGAGTTGACAGACTTCCGGCGACCCGAGGTTGAAGTGAACTCGACCACTTCCAGGTCATCGCCATTGAGAGCAGGAGACTGATCAGTCTGCAGTTTCTGGATCTCCTCGATGCTGGTGACATCCTTTGTGGCGGAGGTAGACTCCTGAGGAAAGAGGGGGAACCAAGGATCACCAGCAGTGGTGTCAAAGTCTGCCGACCCGAAGTCGCCCGAGTCAAAACTGGGGGAAACATCGTAACCGTCGTTAAAGTCAGGAGACTCATTGTAGATCGAAGGTGATGTCAAGGCGGTCAGGGCTGTTGAGTTGGGAGCAGACATGAAGGGCTCCTGAATGAGAAGGTCCTGAGGAGAAACGGTGCCCAAAGTGCTGGGACCGACATCGAAGACCGACGGCATGGCTGGCGACGAGTAGGTGGTAGACGCACCACCCTCGAAGCCGGTGAAGTCGTCCAGGTCAAGGTCTGTAGAGGCATGTGAGCACAGTGCTGGGCGAGACCAGAGTGTGGCCGTTTTACCTTGGAGATCCATCTTGTTAGTTGCACCCTGAAGACTTTGAGCGAACAGTGGTACAGGAGGACGCTGACGGCGGTTCAGAGCAGCTGAAGACGACGGAGCGGATGAAGCGTAGAATTTAGCTGACTGAGCGGGGGAGTAGACTGAAGGTGACCGGGAATTGGATCCGGAGGCTTGGATCTGGGCAAGACGATGCTTCTGTTGGAAATGGACGCGACCTTGTTGGTTCTGTCGGAGATGATATGACGAGTGGCGACGTTGATTAAAACCGATGGCGGTATGGGTTGCCAGGTGTCTAGGTTGACTGGTACGAGGTTGATCGAACAAGACGAAGTCCTGTTGGGGAGACTGTTCCGGTGGGCTGAACTGAGGCTGTTGCGCGGGTTGTGCCGGCAGGCTGGGTGAACTGGAGGGAAGCCATGATGATTGGGAATCCGTGGTGAAGACTGAAAAGTCTTGAGGTAGAATGTTTGCGGAGGCGGAACCTAAGCTAGAGCTAGAAGCCGTAGTGTAGTTCAGATCGACCTGGGAAGGTTGAGCTGAAGTATGGAGCGGAGAAAAGTGGTGAATTGTTGTAGACTGAATGTTGTTGAGCTTTGAAGCGGGATCGAACTGAAGACGATGATTTAACGCATTTTGGCGGGCCTCGATGGCTGAATGATTCTTGATTGTAGTATGGAAAATTGTGGTGATGAGGAAGAAGGAGAAAAAAGGGCAGGTGGGAAACAGGCGTGGAGGGATTAGCGAGTTTTTGTAGCCTGCAAGGCAGCAACAGGCCAGAAAAAAAAACGAAAAGAGCGGGTGGTTGTGGGACGGCACTTCCGGATACACAAGCAGGGCGAAGGGCGCAGTTGTCGAAGCCCTGTTGTCCAGAAGGTACAGCGGGGCAGTGTATCCCGCCGTGTAGCTGAGCGCACGGATTGGTGTTCAATTCACAAGTACGCTACCTAGCCGAAAGTACCGCCTCCAGATGTAGCGCAAGGCAGCCGACTGCGCCCACAGGAAGGAAGAGCGGTACCCCTGCACGGAACGAGAGTGTGAGTCACACTTTCTGATGCTAAGCCAGATTCGGCTCGACCGAGCGCACGGGACGATTGCTCTCATTGGTTCGTGACGATGGCAGGCAGAATACAGTGCAGGCTAGAGACATTGCTCCAACAGCAGCCAATGATCAACTCCGGTAAATACTACGATGAGGGGCATCTTCTTCGCTTAAGGTAGCGCGTGGGTAGGTACCTAGAGCTTCCGCGCTGCGCTGACATGCGGAATTTACTCTGATAACGTACTGCTCGACTCCTACTCTTTACCTGTCGATGCTCTTGCCATACAGAGACAGTAATCCCACGAACCGCAATCCAAGAATGCTGGAGATTTTCACTAGTTCCAAGCCGGTGCATATCTGTGGAAGGAGTGAAAAGTTTCATAGGTGCCTTGGTTTGGATGCTCTGTGTACACCAGGAATTGCGTGGAGGAAAGATGGGGTTTGTGACATGCATTGCCTTCCTTGTCAGTCAGGATGGCTTGGGACCACTGGCGACCCGAAACACGACCATTCCAGCCTATCAAAACTCCCCCGAATCTGAATGCACCAGGCCAAATCTTGTGAGTCTGACGGTTTAGTCAAAAACAATTGTAGCAGGAGTTCCTCATGTTTCCTACATCTCCCCTGCACAGTGCCAGTCAGACTATTAGGGTACCTTAATAAGAGCCCAGCTACAACGCGCCCACTAAGGTGGCCGTCACTACGAAAAATGATATAGAAGCACTTATAATATTTATTTATAGCCTCAAGCCGTTATAGTGATTAACCAGGAGTAATTACTAATAAAAGCGTAGCGATTTTCTTATAATAGCCCGCATACTTATTATTATTTTATTTATAAATTTTTAAAATTATATATTAATAATAATTAACTTTACAATTTTAAAAATCCGTTTAAAGAAGGAATTTACTAGGGCCGTATTGAATATTATATATTAAGAAAATTATATTACGCTTTATACTTAATTAGTAATAGGCTTTAAGTATTATAATAATTTATTAAGAGTAATTACTAATAAAAGTATAACTATTACTTTTAATAACTTATTTATTTATTATTACTTTCTTATTTATTTTATATTCTACTTTTACTAACTACTGGGTAGTTCTTAATATATTATATTATTAATATACAGTATTAGTAAATACTCTTATTATCTTATTAAACTATTTTTATAATTTTTTTACTTTTTAACTTTCCTTCTTATAAAGTTTATAATTATAAATTAATAATAATATTAAGCACATAACTATTTTATAAACCCTCGTACTTAGCTAAGTTTACTATTTTTTAAATAATAATAGTTTATAATAATAGTATTAGAGATACCTTATTATTATTATTAATAATAATACTAACCTCGTTAATATATATTTTAACTTATATATATATATACTATATATTCGTTATTTCGTTTTTATTACAATTAAAAACGCTTCCTTATTATTTATCGTTATTACTATTACTATTATTATTATTATTATTATCGTTATTAAATTATTTACTTATTTAAACCTATTTTATTAAAATATTAAAACGCTAATAACTCGTTAACCCCTAAGGCTTTTTAATAACTAAAAATTCGATCCTATAGCTATTATATTAAATAACCCGAGCTATAAAAGACCGTTTTAATAAATACTACCTCCGTAATATTAATTTATAAAAATAGATAAATATATTATAATAAGTATCGTCCTTATTAATACCCTTTTAATATAATATAATAATATAAATAAGCCTAAACTTAATAATATAATTAAGAGTTTAAAAGAGTATAAACGAGTATATTAAATAAGAATATTAAAAAAAGGCTATTATTAAATAAAATAAGAGGAGAAAGTAAGGGGTAATATTTAGCTATTTAAAAAGTAATTAATATATTATATTATTAATAATAATTTAAGCTATATTAATATTAATAACTATAGCTAGTTATTATTAATTATAAAGTTTATTAGATAATATACGTAATAAAAACTTAATATTAACCCTCGTAAACTAGCTTATTTATAGGGCAAAGTTAGCCCCTAATAAGGCGGGCCGGACCCTAAAGGGTTTTTTAAAGTTATATATTATTAATATTCTTTTTATTATCGTTTTAATTTTTTATAATATAAATATAAGTATATATATTTTTTTCAAAAAATATAAAAGTCGACGTTAATAAAATCAAGTTTGGCCTCTAGCTATTATAATAGTTTACTAAAAGTAATTATTAGTAAAAGTATAGCCGTTTTTTTAATAATCCGCCTACTTATTACTATTTTATTAATAATTTTTAAAGTTATATATTAATAATAACTAACTTTTTAACTTTTTAACTTTTAAATAATAATTATATTATTATTAAGTACTAGGTACTTTATTACTTAATTCTTAGTAATTATTGTTATTAATACCCTTTATTTTAAGCTGATGAGCTATTATTAATTAATATATTATACTATTATTTTATATTTTATTTTTAATTAATTTAATTTAATAATAACGCCTTCTTCTTATTATAATCCTTGTAATAACCTATTTATTATTAATATAATTTAGTTTTAATAATATAATAGCTTAACTATATACTATATACTAATTATAATTTTATTATTAGTAGTAGTATTAAATACTAAGGGCCTTAATAAAGCGAGTAGCTATTATTATAATATTAAAAAAATAAAAATTTTATATTTAATAAATTAGCCCTTAATCTAAGTAAAGTTCGTACTTAATAATAACGTACTTAAAAATATTTTAAAAATATAATATTATAACTACTTAATTTTAATATATTTATAATAAATAATAAAAGGCTTATTCTTTTAAGAGTATAAAATAAAAATAAATTATTATTAAATAAAAAGTATTTTTAAGTTTATAATATAAGTTTCCTTTAGGGTCGGCCCGCTTTATTAAAAACTATTTTCGCTCTATAAGTAAGCTAGTTTATAAGGGTTAATATCGAGTTTTATTATATATATTACTTAATAAACTTTATAACTAATAATAACTAGCCATAACTACTATACTAACTTATACTAATAAATACGTTAAATTATACTAATTATTTTTTAAATAACATAACTAAAACTACTCTTTAAATTTGTTTTTTTGAAATTTTCTAACTTTTTTAAATAATTAATCCTTAGCTTAAGCTTAGCTATATAATTTTTAATTATATTAAGGAGTTAATTTTTATTTTAATATTAGTATTATCGAAGCCTATTTATAAAACTAATACTTTAATAATAATAATACTAGTTTTTTCAACTAATCTAGGTTTCTTTTAAGTTTAATTATTTAAGGCCGTACTTACGGATTTTTTAAAAAATAATATTAATTAATATTATAACTTAAAATCGAACCTCTTATTATAAAGATAACGCTATAAAGTAATAATAGTTTATTTTAGTATCTTAAGTATTAATTATATATATTTAAAAGAATTAATAATAATAGTTTATAATGATTTTTAACTTTAATAGAAATGAGGTAAAATAAATATAGTATATATATATAAGTAAGAGTTAAAAGCGTATATTAATACTTATATAGGTCAGTATTATTCTTAATAACGGTAACGAGGGTATCTTTAATATTATTATTATAAGCTACCGTTACCTAAAAAGGTAGTAAACTTAACTAAATACGAGGGCTTATAAAGTAGCCGCGCGCCTAATATTACTATTAATTTATAATTATAAACTTTATAAAAAGAAAAGTTAAAAAAATAAAAAAAAATTAAAAAAATAGTCTAATGAAATAATAAAAATATCTATTAATACTATATATTAATACTATATAACTAATATTAAGATAAAGTGGGCTTGAGTAGGTAGATAGTTGGACAGCGATAGTAATAGCGGCAGCGACAGCGGCAGCGACAGCGGCAGCGACAAACGGCGAGGGAAGTAGCGTTTTTTGACTTTAATAAAAGAAACGAGGCAACGAATATGTGGTGTGTATGAGAGTTATAACGTCGACGGTCAGCATCATTCTTAATAACGGTAACGAGGGCATCTCAGATACTACCGTTATAAGCTACTAATACTTAAAAGGGTAGTAAACTTAGCTAGGTATAAGGCTAGGCTTATAAAATAGTGGCGTCCCGCACCTAATATCGCTATTAATAATCCGTAGTAATAAACTTTATAAAAAAAAAAGTTAAAAAAGGTAAAAAAAAATTATAAAAAATAGTCTAACGAGATAGTAAGAGTATTTACTAATACTATATATTAATACTATATAACTAATATTAAGAACTGCCCGAGCGATTTATAGAGGTAGAATAAAAATAAATAACTAATATTAAGAACTACCTGAGCGATTTATAAACATAAAATAAATAAATAAATAATATTAGTTTAAAATAATAGCCTTTTTATTTAAATAATAATAAACTAAATTTAAAATATAAAACTTAATAAATAAAACTGGATTTATTAAGTTAAATAAAATAATATATATTATATTAAAATTATTTAAAAGTAAATAATTTAAAACCTTAAGGATTTAAAAATATAAGAGGATATAAGAGGATATAAAAGGATTTATTTATTATTTAATAACTTAATAAATTTCTTATATTTATTTTAAAATATTAGGGTTTTATAAAATATATTAGTATATTGGGGTATTTAATATTATATTTAAGAATATTTATAATACGTTAGTTATATTATAATTTGA